TTATGCAAAAGCTCAGAGTTCTCGCAAATGATTGTAACTTCATCGCAGTTTCCGCCGAGAGACATCGCGATAAGGCTATCCGTGATGTCCTCATTACAGTGTTGCTTTCCAACGATCTTCGCCAAAGGCTTCTCTAAAATCAAACCCTAAGTTTACGGCGTGCTATTACCGAGGACCGTACTTTGGAGAAAGCACAGCAGCAGTCGTTCACTTACGATTTAGTCTTACAAGTAGCCTGTGGTTCCGTGACTAACCAGAGGGATTCCATCTATCACTATAACGTCCTGGAGTTCCCGATCCACAACCAGAGACCAAAGACGTGGTGGTATTGGTTTTCACCACATGATTTTTCTGCGGAAGTTGCTGACATCTTCGTTCGGAATGCCCGAGAAGCCACATGTAATTCTTGTGGAAAGCAATGGCATTTCAAAAATGTTTGTTGATCCGATTCCAACGCTCATCCGAGACTTACATTATCTGTTAAATTTAATCCTATCGCCCGATGTTGCAGTATCAACATTCGTCGGTCAACCCAATTCCACAGTAAATATTCAAGCCAATGGAATAATCGATACAGGCAGTTGCGAGAGCTATCTGTACCTCAATATTGCTGCTAAACATCGACGACCTGTACAGTCATCTAAACAGACTATATGAACACACATTATATAAATTTCCGAATTATCCTCTCACAAACTATGCACTCTATGACCGAGGTTTTGGTGGTCGGCTTCACAGATTTCCACGTTACCACACCAACAGATCACACTCCTTCCCTTCCTCAATTGTTGAACTTTCCTATTCTCGTTTTACCACCTATTATTATAAGTCTCCAAAAGTGTGTTGCTCAAGACAACGGCAGAAACCATAGTCGTGTGCCTATGCTAAAGAAACAAACATCCGCTGAGATTATTCCGAAAAAAGTACTCGCGACCCGGTCGTAGCTGAAGTTAGGGACTTTCAACGTTCGAAAACTTATGCAAGTTGGGGCTCAGGCAGCACTCACTGGCACGATGGAAACGCTCGCCATGGACGTTTGCTGCCTTACTGAGACAAGCCTACAGGATCCGAGCACCGTACTGCAACTCGCTTCACCGTCTCCGGATTCTGCAAGCTCGTTCATCCTCCGTCTGATGGCAGAGGACGCCGGCCAGGTCGGCGTGGGGATAGCACTAAGTGCACGTGCATAAGCAGTTTTAATCGACTGGATTCCAATCAATAGTCGACTCTGCGCCATATGTCTAAAACGATCGGTGAATGCATCTCGTAATGGGACTAAAAAGCTCTGTCTGTTCGTCATCGTGGCTTATGCGCCAACGGACTGCAGCCTCGACACAAAACAGACGATTTCTACCATCAACTCACCAACCTCTTCCACAGTAGACGACACACTGACATCGTTAGACGCTGACGAAACTTCACTTGGTGGCCAGCGTAGTCTCGGTGTCAGGAGAACTGACAACGGCGACCGTCTACTGCACATCTGCCTTGAGCATGGTCTCTTCGGTTCGAGCATCAATTTTCGCCGACCGTGGCGCCAACGTGTTACTTGGCGACCTTTATCGTTTGACCAGCTCTGGAAACATATAGAACATATTGCCATCAATGAAAAAATTGCATAACGTTTGCAAATCCATCTGGAGCACATATCACAGCCCCGACCATGCACTCGTGTGTGCGAAATTCTCTCTGCCCTTTGGCCGGAAACAGCAACGTCACCCGAGAAGACTCGATTTGATGAAACTGATCGACCCAAACGTGGTTACCACCTACTAAAACACGTTAGCTGCTGATCTAGACAGTTTGTCATCCCCGAACGTTGATAACCAGTGGATTCACATTCGTAGTGCCATGCATAAGTCCGTCACCACAGCATGTAGCTTCACCAAACGCACAGCCAATCACTGGGTCTCGACACGTTCTCTCTAACTGCTCGACACTCGTCGAAGCATCCCTCAAGGTAATGAATACAACACAGCTCGCAGGACTCTCAGTGCTGAAAGGAAACGGTTCCTAAAAGAGGATCGAGAGAGATGGTGGGCACAAAGCGCTTTTGAGATGGAACTAGCCTCTGCTTCCGCTAATGCTCACAAACTTCTTCGACTCATCCGAGCCACCGGTAACAAAAACCATGCGTCAGTGAAACCATATGCGAAAATAATGGCGAATGTATCCACAATCTACAACGTTGGCTTGGGCGGAGCAATTTCATCAACAATTCAGTTGGCCATCAACATCACCACCTCCATCTCTCGATGTTTGTAGTGCTTCATGATCTGTGGACAATTCATCGCGTACAGAGGAAGAAGTCTCCCGAGAGCCCAGACTTCTGAAACGCCACAAACCGCCCGGCCCAGATGAGCTACCTTTGGCCCTTTTCAAAGACGGTAGTGCAAGCCTTGTTCGAGAACTAATTTCCTTATTGCAAACCATCTGGAATACTGAATCCATTCCATCCGAATGGAGTTTGGCAGGCTCAGCTGAACAAGAGAGCGTCATATCCGCGAAGAACAAGCTGGATTCCACCCTGGCCGGAGCTGCGCTGATCGCATTTTTACGCTACGCCAGATCCTCGAGCCAGGTCAAACGTTCAGCACACTGACCATCATTGTGTTTTTGAACATACGTGCTGTGTTTGACTCAGTTGATAGCAGCTCTTTGGACTTCTGTTAGGAAGCGGTGCCCGGGAAGTATGTAAACCTTCTCAAAGCCATCTACTCAAACACATCAGGCCGCGTCAATGTCTATGATCGCATCTTCCTTTCATTTATCATCACAAGCGGAGTTCGCCAAGGGTGCCCGGCTTCACCCTTCCTCTTTAATTTCGCAAGACTGTGTGCCAGGCAAATCATGGTACAATAATCTTTATAAGAAGAAAAACGCTCCATGATTGGCTTGTGGGCTGAATACTGCCAGGTTATTCAGGGCAAGGCAGGTGAATTGTCTTGAGGAATCCACAACCGGAGCCTTCGGCTAATTAAAGCCTGACGCGCAAGGCAGCGAGGTGTGCGAAAACCGCAGACCATTGGGGGCCGGTGTCCAGTTCATTGGATCACACGGGGTCAAACGTCCAAAGTGCCCAAGAAACCTCAATGCGCAATCGAGCCGCTGACCATTGCCACCACCGAAAATGTTTGAGTGAGGTTCGTACGCCTCCTCATGGTTGGTTTGGAATCAGGGTTTTTGGCCAACTTCCCTAGGCGAACTACCAGTGGTCCACCAACCCGGTTATAGCCCCAGATGCCGGCTTTTCGTCCTCTCACTTTGGTGGGAAAACACCGCCAGCACAAGAAGGCAGTGAGTAGGGCTTCCTCAGCAGAGGCTATTTGAGACGCTTGATCGTATGGGAGCATTTCGTGAGGTGCAAGGGACGGGTGACCAGCCACAACCCTAGACACCCACCCCCGACTATACTGAGGATTTGAAGGCGGTGGGTAGATAAGTGTGCAAAGATGGCGAAAGCTCCGGCCGTTGGTAATAGTCGCATTGTTTTCCGTCTAATTAGGAATACGGGTCCCAGGATAATAGGCGCTAGTGGGGAAATTAACGAATCCGACGACATACTGATTCACAGTCAACAACGCCGTCTTGATCGATGGGCTGAACACTTCAAGGCTCAGTTCAATTGGCCCCCATGGACATCTCTCCTATCAACCGCCCCCTCCCCACCTCGAGTGCGCAAATACTCCCAGTTGATGGCCTTCCTCCAGCTGAAATGAAGGTTTCCTGGGAAGTAAGTGATCTCAAAAGGCATAAGGCCTCCAGCCCAGATGGGATGTTCCCATCGGCTTTTAAAGATGGAGGATCAGCCTTAGTTTCGGATTTAACGAAACTCCTGAGATCAGTGTAGGAGAGGGATGAGGTTCCAACCGAATAGTGTGAATATGTCATCGCACCGATTTACAAGAAAGGTGACAGATCCTCTTGTGAAAACCGCAGAGAAATTAGCTTAAGCAAGATTGCCTTTAAACTACTCCGTCGATTGTCTGCCGCACATGAAGAGTGCACGCGTGAGAAGCAATCTGGTTCTAGACCTGGCTGCCCAGGTCAAGGCAGGTAAATTTTCTCGATGAATTTACAATCGTAGCTTTTGACTAGCCAAGGCGTGACCCTCAAGGCAGCGGGGAATTGTGCGTAAACCGCAATCTATTGGGGTCCAATGTCCAGTTCATTGGATAATATGCCCTTTTCCACTACAGTGGTCAAACGACCAAGGTGCCCCAAACACTTCGATACCCGATCGAGCCAGTGACTATTGCCAAAACGAGGAAGGTGTGTGTGTGTTTCGTACGCATCTTCTTGGCTGGTTTGAAGTCAGATATTTTGGCCTACTCATCTAGGTGAACTGCCAGTGGTTCACCGACTTGGTTATAGCCCGGAATATTGGCTTTACGTCCTCTCACTTTGGTGGGAATACATCGTCACGTGAAGGTGCATGTCACCACCATGATCACCCTAAGTCTCCTTCATAGTGTATTCTTACCTTTTTGAGCTGAAATAATTAAGGGACAACAAATGCCGTAAGTTTCAAACAGATCTCTATAGTATGAATGTTGTTTATATTTTCGGCCAAAATTGATGTTAGGGAATAGGTAACCACTGTTGTTGATGATTAAAGACGGATTTCCCGTTTGAGAAGGAACTGTTTGACTGAAGGTAGTTCTAACACGCTAGGTGTTTTGTTGTTGAGTTTTGGACATTCCGGTATATTATTTTAGGCCATACTTGGCGATGATTTTAAATTCTTGCTCTGGGATAAAATTGTGAGGAATATACACAGGCATTTGTGAATTGCTATGACATGTGATGAAATCGTGGCATTTTGTTACTAACTTTGTTGACTCTGACCATCCGCATGGCTCCATTCTCACACCCCTGCAACCCCAACCTCTGTCTTTCACCTGGGACACACTGGCTGTTACCAGTTTGCCTCGTTTTGTAGACGAATGAATGCGCTGAACGATCTAAACAGACTTTTCTCCCGCCTGAGTCCTAGCCCAATGACCCTCCCATCTACCAGGATTCATTCTCCATATCCGACTGACGATCCGCTAACAGTGGAGAAGGTGGCTAACTGGATGAATGAAAAGAAAGTAAGTTACTTGTTTCGTGCTTAATTTAAAACAATTAAAAATGGAGAGCTGGGTTTGATCTCAGTTGAGATTCGATACCGCTAAGTCCTCAAAAAACTTCCAATAACTTTGCTTTGGTTGGAAGGATT